AGGGCTTCGGTCATTTACTCCAAATATACTGACTGATACTGACTGAACTTGCTCGATGGTCGGCTTAGGGGTCGTGACCTACTGAACTTTAATCACCCCTGCTGGCTGTGGACGTGACGACTGATCGGCTCACCGAGTTCTCCTTCCTGGATTAGTTAGGTGGTCAGTTTTATGAAAAGAAAGAAGTTTTTCGGAAAATCGAGTTGTGCTCGTGAATTTTCGAACAGGTATCACTTGTTCGTCGTCAGACTGAATAAAATGTGAGGGCTGGGAATGTCGCACTAGAGGTTTTGGAGGCAGAGATTACAACAAACGGGGTAGGATTGGGTGGGAGGGTTATGGTGACGTGACTCCTGCGGTGATAGGTTGTCATGCGTTAATAAAAGCTTAAGATGCCAACTTTATGTGCGATATCCAGTTCAACAAGTCTATGCGTTGATCACGTAGAACTCTCTTGCTGGATTTCCGAGGAAAGTAAAGCGCGAACCTGGCGCAAAGCCTTCGAAACAGAACTTTTCAGGAACTAATGGAGCAACGGAACTAATAAGCATCAGTCTCCAACGCGAGGCACATTTAGGAAATTGAGACCACCTTGTCTTGTTGCACTGATTAACCTTGCATGCGGCAAAAATAAAAATTCCTGTATTGCCAGATTTCTCCAGTCCATACTTTATAAATTTCAGCACACTATTTTTCGTGCAAAAAATACTATTTATTATTGTTGAAATTCTATTACTTGACAGTTTGTTCAGAGCTTTCACATTTTGAATTGCATGAAGAATGTTCTCGCAGCTTTGATAGCAATATTTTGTTCTCGAAAATAAAGGTTAGAGGTTTTTTTGATCCAGTGAACGGTGTTTATTATGTTACCAATACTCTTGACAACTCAGTATAATATGATCTTTTAAAGCAGGTAATTCTTTGGTTCGAATTTTGTGCATATAAAACAAGAGCTAAATTAAAGGAACCTGTTACAAGCCCAATGGGCTGTAATAATAACATGTCGCTTGCCAACTGTCGAACGGTCGCTAAGGTTATGTTGCTGATTCGAAAATATACCAAGACTGTATAATTTAATAGAACCAATCAATTTCGTGAGTTCTCGTCAGCTGCGGTCTCTCGCTGCATAAAAGATTGAAATCGTACAGAAAACTGATGCCGACAACAAGGTCATAGTAAATTGCTCTGTAGGCTAATCAATAATGTAAGCAACTTAAACACAAACACTGTGGTAAGCAAACGTGGGGAAAAAACTTTAAAGGCAAAAAGGAGGGGGGAATGTGTAAAATAGGAAGCTAGATGTTACTATAACCTTGTTGTTTGTATCGATTTTTCTGCACGAATTCATTTTTTACATTCTCCTATATTTGACTAATATTATGCAATGAGAGGCCGCAGCGGACGAACACGCGTTAACTTTATTGGTTCTATTAAATTCCATAGTCCTCGCACCAGGAGAAAAAGGCTTTAAAAAGATTTGAAAACAGTAAAAATAAGTTCATGATTCAACGCTATGATAAGTTAAAGCATGGTTTCGCAGGTACGAATTTAAATCAAGCCTATGCAGCAGGATTTTCTTGTACAAATACATTTCGGGACAGCCTTTCAACTGCTTCCTGTCTTTGCGTGAATAAGATAAAAAGTGGAAAACACAGCAGTTTGAGTTCACACAAAATCACTGTATAACAGCAAGGTCATTTTTTAAACGCAGCGTGTAGTCAGTAATAATATCGCCTTTAAACTTGGGAATTAACAAAACACAAAAAGCTTGATTAAA